TGGGGCACAGGTGGCTGCAGAGGAGCTGAACACTGGGGCACAGGTGGCTGCAGAGGAGCTGAACATTGGGGCACAGCTGGCTGCAGAGGAGCTGAACATTGGGGCACAGGTGGCTGCAGAGGAGCTGAACATTGGGGCACAGGTGGCTGCAGAGGAGCTGAACTTGGCCCCTGGGAGACCGAGACTTGCTGTTGGCCAGTTACCAATTAACTAAGGCTTCCTAAAGGTTTTACCTCTGGAGTATCATTACACCCTGACCCACTTTAATTAATCACATGCATTTGTGAAACCAAAAAACCAGCAGCATACATACAGTCAGGTGACAAACTCTCCAGTCAAACTGGCTGCCTGTCTGTCTCCATTAGCGTCCCAGGAGATAAAACCACCTCACAAATCACTGACACCTTCCTGCTAACCTCCTGTTTGCCTCTAATCTCCCCTTTGATTTGTAGACACCTCTTCCTTTTTCCTCAGCGGTGTCTATTGATTGGGCTAAATTGGGTTTGAATATTTCAAAGATTTGCGGGCTGCGTCACTGGGCCAAAGAGAAGCCCAGGCATGCCGGCGTATCGATATGTAAAGATTTAGTGAATGCCCTTTCACTCAGAGGCCGCCGGAGCAAAAGTTTTATGGCGGCTAATTAGTCATCAGAAAGATGAAGCTTCCATCCGTCACATGAGGGGGGGGGGGGAGGTGGGTTGTTGTGCTACTGCTGTCAAACCCACTCAGCTTGAATTTGTCTAAAAACAATGTGCAAAATGCCAAGCTGTGTGCAAACAAGAGACAGAAGAGAATCAATAGAGTTCAGTTAGACATAGTCCTTTCTCCCCATTACTGTTAGTCGGTAGCTCCCGTACTAATGAAAATCCATTGTTTACACCGTCAGACGTACCAGCACTCGCTGCTCCCCTGTGAGTTCTGGCGAATCACAGAGCAGCTGGGATTCTGAGACCGTTAACAGGCACGGGGTTTCTCCAATCAGCACGCTGTAATTCAGTCGGGCGTTCCCCGGAGCAGGGGGTATCAGGTTTTTCCCCTATTTTGAGGAAAGACATCAGTTTCAGTTTCATCAGCATAACAATGATATCTGTAGCTGGCACTAACCGTTAACATACTACTCGTTTATCTTGGCATGAAGAGGTTTTGGACCAAAGAGAGAGATAAGATGAAATAACTGCACAGGAAGTGCCCTCTCCTTCTGGTGGGGTAACTTACTTTAAGAATGATAGGTGACCCTGGCTTCACCTCCAGGATCCCAGAGCTGCCCAGAGGATCAAAGGTGGGATTGGGATAGTAGGTGAAGGGAGTTCCATTCAGGATGAGTAAGGCGGTTACATGGTCCAGGATGAAGCCGAACTCATCTGGGTGCAGGCCAGACTCTGGGACCTGCCGCTTGGTGTAGACGATGCCGGGAGCCAGACAGGTCATTGTGGAATCGTTCATGACGGTGCACACCTGCAGAGGACAGGAGGAGGTGATGACATGCCAATGTAGGCCGGAACAGAATACGCCTTAACGGGCATGAGCGTAACTTACGTTGGTAGTCTCCACACCTCCATATTTAGCCCGGACTTTGGGTTCCTGAATGGTAAGGAGGTTGTTGCCCATTACGGTGATGGTCGTGCTCCCACTGGAAAAACGACCGAGGAACCAGAAAGACATGAGAACAGCTACATCACTATAGATGTTAGGTTTTTCCATTTTATACACGCATTTTCTTGTTAATGCAATGCATTAAACAATCTCCGAAGAGTTAAACAAAGGCCTGGGCACCGATGACGGCTGCCCGACTCTTCGCACTGGACTGAAGTGAGATTTTTCTGCAGTGCGCAGCTGATGAGGCTTATTTGCCTGAGAGAGAGAACTGTTGGGCTTTTGAATAAGTGGGCAGTTTTCTCAGGCCCTCTGGGTGCAATCTATTAGGAATTTATATATACTTGAGACTTCATCAGCTCTTGTATATTGCATTATAGAGTCTCATGATGAAACTGTTATGATGGGACCTTATCTGTGTCCGAGGGTGGCTTTCAAGACGCCCGTTTTAATCTCCAAGGGAATTTCGCCTTAGGTATTTTGCATGCTAATGGATTCTCCGTGCTCAGTATAACAAGCCCTCAGTCTTCCGGGGCTGTGGACATGCTCAGAGCGTAGTGCCGACCAAGCAGGACCCCAGGAAAGCACACTCACTTGACAATGCTCCAGGTGGGTTCGATGCCACCCACAGTGGGGTCCTCGGTGTAGAAGTAGATTGTGTTAGTGCTGGTTATCTCTGCCTTGTCGATGAACAGCCTGATGGGCGAGGAAGTGGATCCACTTGTGGACGGAGGGGTCACACACACAATGTCCTTCATGTTTCTCCTATAGAAACAAAAAGATTTCAAATGGTGTTTCTGCTATGTCTCCAAAATAACATCATGCAAGATTTAAGCCAAACCAGGATGGATGCTTTTGTTCTGCTGTCACAATCAGTTCCTTAAACCCAAGCAGTAGACTACAATGTGTTATGCTGACTGACTGCTAATCTTACAGGCTAACATTCATAGTGATCAAACCATGAGATAGAAGCCGATAAACACTGGCTCGATTTGCCAGTACTGGATCTAAAGTAGCCCAACTAGCCTGTTCCCCTTGGTTTACATCAGTACAAAAGAGGTAGAATTTCTGTGTCATGAATCAGATAGCACAGTGACTAGTAAAGGTTAGCACATAACCTCGAACTGATGTCCCAGAGTTCAGCTTCATGGTATTTACTGGAAATCACAATTTTCTAATCAGTGCCATTCAACAAACAGCTTTGTAAACAGCTGCATGGTATAAATATGCTATATGGACAATAACACCACATAAAATCATGTGTCTTTTTTTTTTCTTTCAAGCTTTGTGTATATACTATACCAGTTTGGACACACCAGTACACTGAAAGGCTTATTAGTACCAATCTCTACAATTCAGAGTGATTATTGACATGAAATATATAAACAACATATATGGAATTATCCACGGACCAAAAAAAGTATTAAATAAAAAAATAATAATTGGTCGGGGGGTGGGGAGAGGCAGCTCTGTGGTTTGGAATTCAGAAGGTTGCCAAATCCCTGGGTCGGCAGAGTGATGCCACCATTGGGCCCTTGAGCAAGGCCCTTAATCCCAGTTGCTCCAGGGACTGGCTGACCCTACTGTCTCCTCTAGGCCACTTTCATGAGGAAGCATGCTGGGAGATTTTTCCGGCTGTCTTGAAGGAGGTTCCGTATATGCTGAGTACTTAATGCCCGCTTTTCCTTCGCTCTCTGGTCAAGCTCCAAACATCATCTCAACTCCGTTTAGGTGGCCAGGTCATTTGATGTGACACTATCACTCTCCTTTGTCGGCGCCTTGGGACATCCAAGCTATTGACTGGTACTACGCTAGTTTTTGTTGTACATACCAAACGTCTTGAAAATACCTACTTCTACAAGCTAACGAGACAGCTCTGAGGCTGCAGCAGCCCAACCTAGGCAGCTCGCTCCCACCTGACAAAGAGGCACTCCCCCTGGCCGAGGAACACCGTCACCGCACTGCCGCCGTCCAGGTGCTTTCCGAAGATGGTGAGCCTGGTGCCTCCAGACATAGGCCCCTTCTTTGGGTGGATGCGATCGAAGCTGGGAAGCTGGGGAAGGAAACGTGCATTAGCAGTCAGGCCGCAGAGCTGACTGCCTACCAAACACCCCCCTCCAGTCACCGAAAAACATGCTCATCGAGGATTTAGAAGCAAAATCCCAATTGTAAGGCTGTCATATTATGTGGGACACATTTTATATAACAGTCTCGTATAATAATAAATCCTGCAGTCGATACCCAAGTGATGTGATTGAGATTATATATCACACACACTGAAACACAGCACACATTCACAAAACTTTTGTTTTTTTGAAATTTGTTCCGGCAGTGAAAACGTTTTTATTTTTGGTACCTTAAACTGACCCAGCATAAACGCTACACCAGAAAGTGCTTGTCCAAATAGAGCTACCCTTCTGCCCAAATTAGCCGTGTAACTGCGTAATCACCCACTGCACACATATTCATTTGCTTCTCCCAGAATTAAACTGCAAGACCAGTATTGATTGTGCGTTTAAGAGGCCCGGTCTGGCCCATTCATCCCTGCATGCAGCTCAGAGGCCTCTGGATAATCGACCGTTGCCACATTCCTGGTCGGCGGTCCTTACTGCTCCATGGGGAGATCTGGATAATTAGATCACACTGGGCACACTTTTACAAGCAGTCTTTGTGCGTGGCAGTGTAGCACTACCTTGCAGCACAAAGAAAGGTTAACCTACAGGTCAGCAAAAGATAGCCTGCAGGCTGCCGGTGGGTAGAACTGAGGCCAGAAGACTAGTTCCCAAGGATAGCAAGGTTAGCCCAGCCTAGAGTGCAGGAAAAAACTGGGCTGGGTCACAGAACATAGTAAGGCTTGGTTAGCTCATAGAGGACAGAAAGGCTGGGCTAGTCAGGAGAGCACTGAAAGGAGAGGCCAAAGCATACAGAAAGGCTAGGCTAATTCACAGAGGACAGAAAGGCTAGGCTAATTCACAGAGGACAGAAAGGCTAGGCTAATTCACAGAGGACAGAAAGGCTAGGCTAATTCACAGAGGACAGAAAGGCTAGGCTAATTCACAGAGGACAGAAAGG